ACATCATATCCATGTCCATCCAGTCTTTTGATCTTTTATCTGCAAGGTTTTTTATTTACAATACTCCATATTTCTCCCTTATCAGTTTCATCAAGAAAGATGCTGTTGACACAACCCATGACTGTATGACTTATGTTATTGTGTACTTTTGGTATTTTTGATGCAAGACTTGGGCCAACGTTTGCATAGTACTGATTAAATTCATTCACCATTTGATTTTGATCATATATGTCCTTGTCGTCTTTTACAAAATAATTTGAAATACATGAAGATGTTTTATGATTTTTCAAAACACTATTCATTATTTGCCATGTTGCCATCGTATCACCATTACTTTTGTCTAATAAATCACTGAAATATTCCTTCTTATGTTTTCTTATAATCCAAACCAATTTGTTTTTATATTTCTTGTATTTATCCTCTGATTCTTTTGTTCTCAATTTTAAGAAACTGAAATACAAGTAATTCTTTTTTACAAGCATTCCTTAACCCATTCATCATCCATGGTTTGTCAACAACATTTCTCTTAGCACAATTCTTTTTGCAAACAATTTTTTTTCCACACAGATTTTCCAAAATATTCATAAAGACATCATATGCTCTATTTACATCATGAACATACACATCATTCCAGTTTTGTTTTTTTAGGTCATCTTTCAATTTGTCCAAAGCTTTTTTTTTATGTATTTCTCTTTTTCTTCTTTGTTAAAAATACTTTTTCACTATATTGGATGTTTTTACAGATTATAAATATTGGAAATGATCACTAATGTCAGTTATCAAGATTCCACTCAATACTTCTCCATTTCTTATATTTGTAAAGATATTGTCAATCATTGTTTCACTGTGCATTATAATTCTTGTTGGTTTAGTTATTAAAGGATAAAGGCTCAAAATGTTCATTGTGTTAGTAAATGTATTAATATTTGAATCAGCTTGATTTCCCACATTGATATTAAAATCCCCACACAGAAAGACTGTTTTGTTGCAACTTCTTTCAAAGAGCTCAATGATTTTATCAGTAAATGAATCAATGTTTGAACCTGGAGGTCTGTAAACACAACTAATTGTAATATTTTTAGAATTTTCATTTAAGATATCAACAGTAATCATTTCTATATCCTCAACAATCAGTGTCATTCTGTCCCTAATTTCACACTTTAATATATTTTCAATAAATAAAGCCACCCCCCCACACACACACACCTCTTTTATTATTCCTATTCATATGATATAGTCTATATCCTTCTATCTGATAATAATTTATATTTTCATCATTTAACAAGGTTTTGGAGACTGCTATAATACTAAAATGTCTATTTAATTGTTTTAAATAGTCTGTTATTTTTGAAAAATTTGAATTCATACTTCTACAGTTGAAATGAACAATAGAAAAACCCCCATTAACTATTTTATCATTAAATTGGTCCTCATTGTAATACTGACAATCTTCAGCTATTGGAAAAAAATCTGCATCAAGTGTACTGTCTATGTCATAAATGTTAGATTCTGAAACGTCGTAAGCTTCGTAATACATTCGTAATACATGAGATGCATCAGGAAATTCGTAATACATTCTTATATAATTTCTTTTTTGTATACAATATTGACTTCAGACATTTGTTTTATTTTTTATACTTTTGACTTTAAACATTTGATATTTTGTTTTCTAACCTTTAAGTTCTTTGGCAGTTGCTGAACTATATACTTAAATTTATGTTCATTAGGTTCAATGAAGGTGTCCAGTCCGTTTGTTTGTTGTTTAATCATTTCCTTCTTGTGTTCAGTTTACTTTAGAACTTTTCCAGTTCTTCAATGTCACGGATGACCACAACCTTAGTTTCTTCAGGGTTTCCTTTCAGCTTGATAAATATTTTGCGATTTTGCGTCCAAGTGTTTTGTATTTTTCCTTGCTTTCTGAGTAGTCTTGCCTTTCTAGCCATGTCTGCATTCTTTTTCGTCAAATGTTCATTCAGAAACACATCCGATCCCTTTAGTTTTCTTCCTTGTTTTAATAGTTCCATTTTGTGTTTCCTGTTTACAAACCTTATTATTATAGCTGGTTTTCCTGTGTTGTTTTATTCGTGGGAGAGTGTGACAAGATTCAATGTTTTTGTTGTTTACCTCTATTCTCTTGGAGTGTAGAAAAGTTGTCAGCAGCTGCTCTACAGAGTGTGAAGTCTCCTCACATTGTTCCTCTCCATCTCCTCTTGACACAGCCTGTGCATATGACTGTGGTTTTATCGATATTCCAGTAAAAAATGATGTCATTCATACGAGTGTATTGCTCCAAATCAGCAACACGATTCCCAAGAAAGGTAATTCTTTAATCCTTCTCCATGTTTTGTAATTACAGAGCTTTTACCTCCTCCACCAGATCCAAGATATTTTTTGTTGCTGCCTGATAGTTGAGACTTCCTCACCAAGAAAGTCTAGGGATTTCTTAATATCTTCCATCTCCTCTACTGCGGTAGCTCTTTTTGGACCCATTTTCGGAGCCCAGGTTTAGTCCGGTGGCTAGGCCTGACGGTGGGGCCCGATGCCTGATGGTGGAGCACAGGCTGAGCCTGGTGGCTAGGCCCGGTGGCGGAGCCTGAAACCTGATGGTGGAGCCCAGGTTGAACTGTCTGCCCGCCAAATTCCTCGGACTCCAGGCCCCCGACGCACAGTCCCCTCCGCTCCGGTTGTCCGTCGACAAGCGGTGGAGTCTCGCTGGGGAACCGCTACCTTCGTTGTGCCGAGTTTCAAGTCCCTTTTTTTTTTTTTCATTTTTTCCTGCATTTGTCCGTTCTGTAAGTTTTAAGAGTTTTCTGCAGTAGCTGCCGACAGTCCGGTTGCTGGTAGGATCAAACTTCACCGTGGCTGTACTGTTACAAAACTTTAGTAAGCAATCAGGAGTGCAAATCAACACTTCTGTCTTTGTTTTAATGGCACACCGATGAAATGTTACGAGGTCAGAACATTTTCCACAACGATTGCTTTTCAAAAGGTGTCAAGTTAATAAATCGACACCTGACTAAAATAACTGTCTAAATCACTTTTACAAGTTTGTCAGGAATCTCAAAAAATATCACATGGTACAGTTTTTGGTGAAGTTTTTTGTGTTTCCTAAAAAAACAGGACAGTGTTGAAATTAAAACTCATTGTTTGATGAATAGAATAGAATAAAGCTTTATTGTCACTCATTGACACCTTGTCACCTTGACGGCCTCAAAAGAACAACAGTTTTTAACTTTGGGCCACAGAGGGCCGTGGGACCGCATTCATTTTGAAAAAGATGCAATACACTTTCTCACCACTAGTAGCAGTAGTGTGCCACTCAGTTGTTTAACAACTTTTTAATATGTAGAAGAACCTTAGATACCTGCTGAAAATGGAAACTTATTTTAAATGAAAAGTAGAAGCAAAAATGAAGGCAACTCATCAAAAAACCACCAAAGTTTGTCACTAATATGAAGAGCAGCTTGTGTTTTTACCATACAATATTTTAAAAGTTCAAAACATTATCAAATACAGTTGCAAATACAACTATATGGGCAGGTTACAATATAAAAATGTTTGTCATAATCACGTCTTGTGATTATTTGACAGGAGTTTTACTTTTAAACTGTAAGTGTATTTAATTTAGTTATGTTAGTTATGATAGTT